CATGTATACGGTTGACATCTGCTTCTTTACTATCATTGCAGTAAAGGTCAGTTATTTTTTCCATATAATTGTGTTGTTTTATCATTTTTAAAAAAGGAAACTAATATACATGTGTATAGTTATATGAAGATAAATAGAGAAATAATTATATTAATTAATGTTGGACCTTTCTCGTCACGTATCGGTTCCAGTAACAGCTCTTTTGATAGTTACCCTTTACAGAATCGATCATAAAAACAGACGCTGTCTGTCAAGTTAATTAAGTTAGATGAACAATTAGCGAAAGATCAATTTCTCAAACATTTCTCTGGTACTGCCTTAATATTGAATTAGATTATAGGTTTGGCGTTCAACACGCAAAAATGATGAACGACTTGACGGGGCCAATAGTCAACACGCGTAGTTTGGAATAAATAGATTATCTTTTGGTTTATGAAAGTTATGCTAATAATAATGGAAAAATAGTTACTTCCGAGGAAAGGAAAATACCTGTTTATCACTTTGTATCGGTGCGGTATTATTACTGCAAATGGTTAAATGAACAAAGTATGTAATATTAATAATAATAATAATAATTAATAATAATAATTATGATAAAGAGTTTGTATAGATTGCCCAAACGATATAGTATATGTATATACATGCATAAAGTTATCACAATATATTATATTTTGATATCAAACGGTTATACATTTATAAAAAAAAAAAGTGTTTTATATGTTAATCTTAATTTATCTATATTCACCAGTACAATTAAAAACCACGGTTTCAGCGTTTTCATTTTCCTATCTTAAAATTAAAGAAATAAATGATGTTAAAGGGAGAGAACATATTTCAAGTTTTGCAAAAGATTATGAAAGTACTACAAAAACCCACCCATCTTTATCATTATATGAAACTTCATGATAGTAAACAGCAAAGTATCTAATTGCATTTGTAAAGAAACACGTCGTTCATAGCCATTTTTCTTTGAAATCATCGTTGACAACTAACTGGCAAATTCTTTACATCTTCTAGGGAATAATTAGTAGAATATTTTATTTCTTGGTGCCATCTGCTTTCTGATGAGTAATGGTTAACCCGAGTGCCAGAAGAAATAGGAATATCCTTTTCAGATATAAAAAGTGGTACCGAGAGCAGGTGCTCTTTGTAAATTAATCAGTCATGTAATACATCAAAAAGATTATTCAACTTTTCTGATATAAAATGAAATTAAATCTACTGTTAATGAGATTCTTTTGAGTTTTGCCGAACACTTTGTTTAAATATATAATTAGAGTTGGTCTACAAGACATAGGAAAATCTGAAGCGAGAATGTATTTTATATTAGGTCTTACATCTAGTATTTCAATTGTTAACTGTTGTGCCGATCAGCTTTTACATTCTATATGTTACCGTTTGCATAGTCAAATTCTTGGTTATATATTGTAAGATTATCATCTGAATAAACTTCAACATGATGCAATCTGCAATTTTATTTTTAATTTATCAGCTATTGAACTGAGGTTGATTTCATCGATTGCGAGTTTAAAGCGAGTTGGTCTATAATGACTGGCTGCAATGCCATTGAAATTATGTTTGTTTGTTTGGATTGGTTTTACGGCGCACCAACACAATTAAGGCCAAATGGCGCCGAAACAGGAAAGATGATTTTGGCTAACCTCGGGTGTTAAATCAGGGGTCATAACCACCTCACCTTTTGGAGCTAAGAGAGGCATAGACTCTAGTATTTCAAATCTATTTAGTCGCCTCTTACGATCACGCAGGGATAAACGGTGGCTGAAATTCTGGTGCCCCAACCTTTACAGGAAACCCCTGAGGGGCTAACATTATGTTGATGGTAACAAACCACGAAATACATATATGTTGTAGCCGTTGGGGAGGTGTAAAATTTCATGATCTTATATTTAACAGGTAATTGTAATAAATTGTTCTAAAACAAAATGTTAATTTACATTTTTAATCACTTTGAACCCTAGCTATTCTATAGTATTATCAATATTATATACTATTATTATATTTATAATTACATTAGTGAAGGATGTGAAATAGTTATTATTGCAAAACTTATATTTCCGTTATCTATCAATTATAACTGTCAAAATTTATAAGAAACATAATTATTCCTATTTAATATATCAAGAAAGATGCCTTGTAAGCGCAAGCCAAATAAAACTCTATATTTTACACACAGAAAGGTGAAATATTAATGAGACAACCTTTGTTATACCCTTTCTAGGTATGATCGTAAGAATAATAAATAAACCATGTGAATGTTTAATTTGTCTTTTTTACACAAGTCGTATATAACTTCAGCTTTTTACTGGTATTCATACCCTTTAATGATAATACAAAAAACGTGACAATGTTTAAGAAAAGAAAGAGCTATAATCTTTTATTCACAAGATTCAACGAAAGCTCTGACATTGACATTGGCATCTGACTCTGGCATCTTGTTACACGAGATATTGCTCTGTACGGTCACCTAAAAACCAAGAAGTCACTTTCACTTATTCAATTTTCATATGATATATAAGTGTTATGAATTGTTATCTGCACTTCTGAAGAGGTTTATCTGAAGGCAGACCATGTAACATTAATTGATATTGGCAATTTACTTAATCGATAAGACAAACCTGTAATTGACTTTAATTAATAGTTTGTTTCATCTTTCCGACCTTATGTCAACACAATTTATCTCTTGTATGGTGATGATGTCACAGTAAAACAATAACGTCAAGTTTGTGATGTTTTTGCGATCAATACAAGCAGCATTCAGATCTTGGTTTGTTTATATTGATGTTTCATGACCTTCATTATCTTGTTTATTTTCTTCTGTTGATTTAAGTACGGCAATGAAATTGATTACTAACACTCTACAGTGGATTTTCTTTATTCACTGTCTGGTAGAATATAACATACATAATGCAATTGTCATGACAAAAATTTCACTTTATCATGAATAAAATGAGGAACTGACCATCATTTTGGAATAATGTGACATAATTTAATTGAATTCGGTTCGATTAAGATCCGTGCAAAAAAGTACAATGTATTGAAACAGAGGGCGTTAGATGTTGATAATATCATTAATTGTCTTGGCCTTTTCCTCTCAGACATATGTTTCAGTCAGTTATCGTTCTTTAGACAGTCTCCCAGTATAGAAACTATCATCAAAACATACGCTGTCCGTCAAGTTAATCACATTACTTGGGGCAATTAACGAAAAGATCAATGTCTCAATTACTTGTCTGGTACAGTCTCAATATTGAATTAGATTATAGGATATGGCGTTTAATTCGAACGAAAAAAATGAACAGCATGTCAGAAGATATAGCCATCATTTATGATTAGTTATAAATAGGTTTTATAATATGTTTTGCAGTAATAAAAGGACAGGGAAAAAACCACTAGAATTTGAAAAAATAATCTAATTTAATGGTATTATTTTGGAGGCTACTTCAAATATAAAAGCTATGCATTTTATCGTTACCTTTACCGATTTCGCGTTTGATATTATATAATTACGTATGACAACTTCATCTGTTGTGCCGATTATCTGGTGTGTTGATGTAAAACTTTTGTTTCATTATTGAATGTTCTATGATATTTGCTAACACATAAACACAATTCACGAAAGCATATCACGTCAAGTTTTTTCAATGCTCTATCATCGTTAACGTTGACGTTATGTTAAAGAAACTCATTAATTATAAATGGCTTAAAAGGTTATCATAATATACTTAAGATTGATTTGCTTACAGTGGAAACTGTTTCTAGCAGACTGAAAACTTTGAGGACTAGAGCAACGGTGTTATGACATAACGTCATTTTGAAGTATCAAGGTAACACAAATCCCCCCGACACTATTGAATATTGTAAGGGCATACATGCACATTTTCAGGAGCAAATCTTCAATAATGAACTTAACATTGGATTATTATCGTAACTAAATGATTGAATTTTATATCAATGACCAAAATACGTACATAGGTACACATACTTTTGGAACAACACTCCTAAGAATCTCGAATAAAAATTTCAATAACTTAAAAAACTGGACAGTCAAACGATGTGTTGAAGGATTCCATATCTGGAAGTATTCCTGAAGGATATCAGAAAGTTTCTGAAATAGAAGTGTCATTATTGTCCATTATTTAGCCGGTGTGTGTTTAAATGGAACGCTGATTCCTTCGTTAATAGATATAATAGCCCCCTAGTAAGAGATCAATGTTGCTGTCACAGTTTCTAATGGTGAAGCCCCTGCACGTTGACAACACGCCATTATATCTCTTGAAATTGCTGTGTTAATTTAATATCTTTCTTTAAGGTTTCTTTGCATGTGTAAATCATTTTATCTTTACCACGAACAAGTAGCCGTGTTCTTAATTGAAAACGTCATCAGTCGAAGTGAAGACAAATCCACATTTCTGGTTATCTTGTCATAACATGAAGTTCATAAATAATTCTCCCTATTGTATTAAACTTGCAAGATGTTTAAGTTATTGCAAATCTCAAGGGACATGTCAAAGAACAGTTTCATCTCCCTATTTTTTTTCTCTTTACTTGCATGTATGATGACTTTTTATACCTAAATTATTGTTTAAGACAACAGTTGGCTTGGAAATGGCAAGCACAATTATAAAGAAATAAATCATTCGATGGTACTTGTTTCGGATAGATATTTCAAAACAATTTGGTTTTTATCAACATGTTAGAAAATTTTAAGCAAGGCTTCATATAGACTTCAATATAGATTGCTTTGTTATAGATTTGCGACTCTACAAAGCGATGTCCAAATAAACCTGTAAGGTTATTGGGAAAAAATCAGCGCCTCTATTTTATAACATGTGAACAGATATTATTTACATTCCCGTAATTTCTTGGTCAATTATTTCTATCAAGTCAAATGATTTTCGATAAATCAATGTAAGCCCAGGGTAGTTTCAACCATCTAATGAAATCTTACACTGATCTAGAAAATAGTCGATAAGGAAAGTTCCGTTTCTTTATGGACGGGACAATGAACGCGACAGGGTATACCTGACTCTATTGATTTGCGGAGCGCGCGCAATGGTTCCAAAAATAAATCAAATAATACGGTTGCGGGTAGAAAATAACGCTGGGTGCAAGTTATACAGTTAAATATTTTATAAAATTAGATCAAAATTAATTAAATTGCTTTTAAAACGTCAAAGTGGATATATCAGAACAACTTTATCAAAGATGTGAGAACTTGGAAAATAGAATTTGATAGCAAAATATCACAAAGGTAACGCATTTATTTATTTTTTTTTATAATATCGTCATTGACTTTAGATGGATATATACACGTTTTTAAAGTAATTTAACAATTTTTACCTTACTTAAAGTAACTTTGTCAAGTCTTCAAATTAACATGAATAGTGTACATTGTCTCAAGGATCTTAGAGGTAATGTTTTCTTTAAACTTACAAATCGCTTCTTGATTTTATTGGATTGATATAATTAATTAATTATCATTTTCAAAAATAATGAAAGCCGGTATTGGAACCATTATATGGCGCTTGATTTTTGTACAACTATGTTTTTATTTTGGGATGTCTTTCAAAAATAACAGTGACGTATGTAATATAGCCGTAAGTTTTTGTGCATATCGTCATACTTATTTACATTATATTTGTCCAAAACGTTTGCTTACTAAATCCTACATCCTATTGCTAAAATAATCTTATATATTTATGTTAATTTATGTTTATCTGTTTAATGGATTCTATTTAGATGAAGAAAAATATCATCGACAATAACATAATTTCGTATCTTACAATGAATGTTATTACCATCATTGAAAACTAAACTAACTACATGTACTAAAGTTTCTTAATGTTAATAAGAATAAGATATCTTTTCCACTCATACATTAAAGTGTTATAAAACCGTACCAAAATTGTATGAAAGACTGGACCCATATTAATGAAGAAATAAATTATTTCTCGTACATAATTCCATGTTATTAACAATAATGTTCCTTATAACTTAATGTAGACGTTAGATTTATCTACAGCTCTTACGTATATTTGTGTTTTAAGTCGTTTGAAATAAGCTATTTCATTTTCAACAATTATAAATAGTAATGCCAGTTTTTCATGTTCTTCCAACGATAAACTTTGCACTTTTTCTCTTTTATTTGTTAGTACTGTTCATCCTTTCTTAAAACATTATCTTAAGGCATTAATTAAAAGAAATCTAATTCATCTACTACTAAGCGTTAAAATTTCAATTTTGTATACAGTCTCAAACAAATTACGTCTTTAATGAAATATAAAACTTCAAGAACTTAAGATTTAGTGATACACCGATTTAATCATTTTGATCAAGCCTCCGTCGCTTGGATAATTAATTTCATGACTAAAACAATTAACTTTGCCATTCTTCTGCTTGGCATGTTTATGTGATTGTAAACCAACAAAATGTCAGTAACGCACCATAATAACGTGGTTGTTTAATTACTAAAGAATATTATTTGCCTCATCACTATTAAGGAAGTTAGAAAATTATTTCGGTACCATTAAATACAAATTGGTATTTGAAAAGTTTATTATTTAGGTATACTTTTCATTTTTTTTCAATGTCAAAATCAAATCCGAAACTGGTGAATTTACTTCTTGAATTGTAATTGCAATCATGACGAAATATGTCATATGAAATTAAGTTTGGAAATTATCATTAGTCGGCACCCTCATGCGTACCTTCAGGCCCATAACGTCTCAGAAATGCTTTCATTTTATTTTTCAATTTTGTATTTGATTTTTGGTATCTTGTTACATTTCTAACATTACTCACTATTCACATAGGTGAACAATTGTTTGCTTTCTTTGCTCTGTTGGGAATTGATATGATTATTGTGAATTACTATTTTGTATGAAAGTCAACATACTATTTTGTTTACGTTTTGCTACCTTTATGATATATTATTTCATGTTCAGTGTTACTTTCTTCAGTTGTAAAACATCTTACAAGCTCTTAATCAATTATGAAAACATTACTAAACATAAGTTTGACATTTATTAACAATTAAAAGAATATGTATTTCTGAGGCATAATATACCTTTAAGAATGATTTATATTATATTCTCAAGAATGACACACATTGTGTGGTCAATTGTAATCACGCGCTGTTAAACCATCGATCTGCGATAAATCAATGCAAATATTGACTATAAGAATTCACGGTCGGCATGCGATAATGACCATATATAGACAGTACAGGACAGTAGAAGCGGCATGCTTTACCTGCCTATATCGATCAAAGCATCACGGCTTACTCTCGTAGAAAAGTTTAGCAAGAAATCAAAACTATTGGCAAACAATTCTAGTGCTCCCACTCATCGCAAGAAAATTATCTATTTGATTCCTATGCTTTTACCTTTTATTGGATACTATGAGTATAACATGTTTTTCGTTAGTTAAAACAGAGAAGGGATATTAAAATAAAAAAACTCAAATGCCAATTAGAAAAGGTAATATTTTATTTATAATACACTTTTGGACATAAGGCTTTGCACACAATAATTGACGAATATTATATGCTTGTTTCTTTGCGATTACTTTTTTTTTTATAAAATAACAATACAATATTTTAAAATAACATCTAACATTGCCAATAAAATTATTTATGAAATTTTATTGTTTACAATATAAAGTTTAAAAGTGTCACCATCATTTGTCTTTTTTTATAATTTTTCTGCTTCCAGCAAGGTCTCATGAAACTTTAGAAATTAGAATAATGTCAAGTATTTACCAAACAAAGGATACTTTTAATACTTTATTTTCCATTGTCAAGTATTTATTTCTTTGTATTCTACCTATACGCCAACATATTGGTGACACTATTGAAAAAGTCTTCAAACTCACTGTAAAGTACGGACGACATTTTCCTATTTATATCATTTATAAACTTGTTTATCCTTTTAAATGAAATGCGATTTATGGCCTTAATAAAGTAGTTTTTTTTCTGTATAGCACACGTATGGTGGTATAAAGTAGCATCTTTTACAACGACACAGATAGCATTGTAATTTATTCCTTCTACTAGAAACGTTATCTGGTTATGTTTTTATATTCTTTCAATAATATCTACATCTTAATGGTGGAATAAAACATAAAGTTATTCTTAAACACACAAGGATTTCCATAGTAATGAAATTGTTGAATATGAAGCTGTCCAATATTTTTAGTCTGACACATTATCTATTTAAATTCAATTTTCTTTTTAAAAAATACAAAGTTTCGAGAAGTAAGTATGTTTAATAAAATAGTTAGCATAATGATCTTTTTTCCTATAAAAATTCAAATAATCTACCTGTATATTTATGATGTTTTTTATTCGACTAACTATTGAAATTGCTTTTACATTTACATAATCGACTAATATCGCGTTTCTTATTATTTGTATGGCAGTTCTTATTTTTTTAAAGGTAATTAAAATTAGCGTCTCGTGCCTCTTTTAACAAAGTTTACCTCTGATTTTATTTGTTTACTTTGTCTTTAGTTGAGCTGACAGCTTCACGTTTGAATAGTTCAACATTCTTTCTCTGTTCCTTTTGGTCAAGTCCGTCTCAAATACATATTGTTGTTAGTATAGAGTTAGGTTAAGTTAGCGTACTCAATTGAATTAGAATGGTTGTGGGCTAATTTTTAACTATCGTCAGTCTCTCTAAAGTTTAACCATTTAAAAGACAAAACACTTAACACGACGAGGAAGGAATAAATGTTTGTACCTACAATACACACATACGGTACACCACAGTATTAGTAATTCCTTATCAACAACATCCTCAGTAACCTAGTCTTTTTATTGTACACCAGTATTGATAAATTAAATGTAGTATATACGGAGTGTGTACCGTCGGTTCCGACGAAATATCAACAAATGTCTCATCAAAGGATCTTATTTGTATATTTACTTATATAATAAATAAAGTTTATTGAATGTGACGAAACGCTGCTTGCAAATTCTCAAAAATAAAAATTACACACAGGTCTGGCTTTAAATTTACAACAGTTTACATAAAAAAGAGTTATCATTTCAAGAAATACTCGAATATGTTGGAATAGATATTAAAAACTCAAGTTAGTCGTCTAGAAGCATGCAATAAAACGAATTAAGAATAAAACAAATTAAGAATAAAACCAATTAAGATATGCTAATGTCTCGGATTTAACAGAATGAGATATCTCCAGACGCAGGATTAATTACCGGCTAGGATATTGTCATTTTCTAGTAAATAAATAATACAGATATTTGATATTAACTTTGGAATTATTTCATTCATTTTGCGGAATGAGTTAATATTAGAAGTGTCTGTTCACATACATCAGATAACAGACATATCAGTATAGAAATATCAACATTTTCACTTTGTATAATTGTCCCTACCTGTCTTAGCCTTTCCCGTCTTAAGTGATGTTATTATAGTTTTGGATATTCGATCATTTTGATCAACAATGGCTCAAATACTTTGAATGTTGAAAATTGAAAACCAATGAAGCCAATGCTATGTGAAATGGAGTATTTTGTACTTTATATTATCTCTCATGAACAGACTCAATAAAATCGAGCAAACTTTTGCTGTTTTCATAGCTCATACGGGATCTCCTTTTTCCAGAATTATAGGATCTAGAATCACAATGTATTTGTAAGAAGAAAATGGATTAAAACTATATATAACTATCTCATTTTTAATGCTACAAATGAAATGAACAAGCCATGAAGACAATGCATTATTTGTCAATTTTGATTGATTATCTTAGCAAAGAAAATAGTGTCATACCTCATTCTATGAATACCCTTTGTTACTTACAGATAACTCTACTGAATAATTTATTGTTTGGCTAATTAAGGTAGTATCATATCTTTCGACGTAATCATATAGCCCCAGTCACACTATTAATGTCTTTAGGTTTCAAATAAAACCTTTATATCACGTTTACAATACTACATCTAAACTAAAATGATATTCCAAGAAAAGAAAATAAGCAAAACAGTACGATTCTTGAATAACTTTTTAGAAAGGACATAGTTACTTGCGTAAAGAATATTTCATATCGTTTCCATATTCTTTTTTTAATGCTGTAACTAACGTAGTTCGCACCAGTGTCGTCGGATTCTTTTCAAGTGAGAAAGCTATCCGCTAGCTAACAGAACGTCGGTGGTTCTACTCAGGTACATTTTTCCCGTTTGTGCCTGAAATAACACATAAAGGGACACTTGAAGTCTTCCTGGAAAGTCGCCAATACTGTGCTCGTGCGACGTAACAAATAAATGAAATAAATAAAAAAATGTGCATACAAACTATATATGTCGTTAAACCCATTATTAAACCCAAGAATTTGGCAAGAAAAGGAAAAGATTCCAAACAGAATTTAGGCCTCAAAATACATTTGAAATCAAAATATATGACAGTAAAACTTTGAAATTGATTTAATCATTGTCGATATGATAGGGAAACAGCATTGCGCTAATAAATACGTTTTCTAAGCTGACTACCTAAACACCTTTTATACGGACACGTGGCTGCCATAAATGCACATTGGCTGCCATGCCGTTATTTGCACTGGGAAGAAAATCAATCTAGATGACAAATTCATCTGACTCCCTTTATGGAAAAAGCAAAAAGTGCTGTTCAATAGCTATTATATAATACGATTAAACAATTCTAAGAGATTTTAATTGACAGCATGCCTTTTGAATTTCCTCATATAGTATGATCAATAAGGTGTGATAAAGAATTAAAAAATGCAATATATGAAAGCCATCAAAGAATGAAATAAGTTTGAATTATCATACTGCAAATTATTGAATGTATTTTGTAAAAATTAGAATAAAAATTAATCGGGATAGATAAAGACAGAAAAACAGATAAATACATAAATACAATATGCAAACGCACAAGCATACGCGCGCATGTACACAAATATTCAGACACGCACGCAAGCATGCATGCGTGCGCACACACAAGCAATCACACGCATTCACAGAAAAAAAAACTATCGGTCTTAATGTAACCTTTCGTATCGAAAATGGTGACTGCTGACTATCGAGTCCAATCAACATAGCTAATTGATGGCACACTTTTACACTTTCTTTATTGCTTTAGCGCTAATTGCCATTCTTGACTAGATGAACCCATCTTTTCAATCGTGTAGTATTCTCCAAAGATGTGCCGAAATGTTAAATGCCTCCCGGCGATTTGTACTAAGTCCGAATAAAATATGGTAATTGCCGGATATGACTTTCTGAGCCATGACCCAGAGTATGCTCATTTGTAGTTAGAAGAATTGCAGCTTGTCATCAGGCATTGTTTGACATTTTATATTAAGCTGTATTCCTCATCAAAGAGATTCTTCAAAAGTTAAGAAATGATTAAATGGGTTTAAAGTCTATGCACGTTTTAATTGTATTATAAAACTACTAATCACAAGGAGAAATATTGTTGCAGAATTCACAAATATAAATTTTTTATACAACTTATTATATATTATTTTTTATTCGAGAAAGTCTTTTTTCTACATTTAAAAAAATGTTAACAGAACAGACCAAGAAAATATCTTTATAAAGATGCTTAAAAACTCTTACATTAAAATACGTGAATTGAAAGTATTGAATGCGCTCATATAAAGGTTATGATTATACATTAACAACGTTTCCATATTTAAGTAGATTGAATGTTCGGAAATACACGCAATGTTCTGATACAGCTCTTATTTTTGTTCTGTAATAAGGCAATACATTTTTGCGATAAAATAAAGAAAGGTATGGAGTTAAGATACGCAGTTACGTTATCACGCAGGTCTCAGGCCAAAGTCTTCCAATTACAAACATGCCTTAAGGCCGAAGCGATTAATTTAAACATCTTAACGACATACCATGCAACATTACACAACAAAGCACTGAACATCAATATCTAATTTCTGTGTAACATGTAACATCTATATCTATATTCTGTTTAACATGTAACTTCGATAAATAGTCAAGATATCAGTGTCAGACTAGAACATTTCTAAATAAAATAAGCTCACATGATACATTATTTCTATGATTTGTTCTTAACATAGCTGCTAAGGTTATACAACATATCAATATCATTTGAAATTCATAAAATGAAATGTCGGTAAGTTGTAAGAATAGTTAGGTTTGAGCCGAATGAATTGATTATCAAACTATGTACATGTATACACATTTCTGGAAATAGCGATCACTCAGAAGCATTAAAATCAGCAAAATAACATATAAATTGCAGACTCGGTTTGATTGAGTCTGTACAATTATCTTATTCTATTAAATTGCTTATATTCTACTTACTCATGCAGTAAATACATGTCTTATTCAGATTGATCTTGCCGACAAAGATGAAACAAGAGCCGACAACTATAATAGCTCTGATGAGCCTCTCAGTGGCCTACTGTTGCGTTTTCCCCAAATACCTACAACTTATCACGTGGCATAAAAATATACACAGATCGACACGCATTGCCATCTACTTCCGGGAAGACATAATGGAGTTTCAGCAGGAAAATACGAAACTAAACTTCATATCTGATGAATGGGAAGACAGATGCTATCAAATGGTTGATGTAAACAAATACCTTGTTATGCATGAGAATAATACTTTTTCTTGCATTGTGTTTGTTCAAAGAGGTGAATCAGTTATTCAAATGAAGTCTTCAATGCCATCTGATAAACCATCATCGGTTCTTTGTGATGACAGACAAGTACAACTGGACCCATCACTACTTGTTTCATATGAAATGTCTCAGAAGGAATTCCAAGTATGCCCGTTTGCGGGTGGGTATAACATGAAATTGAGAGATAAAGGTGGAACCGCTCATCCTTGTAATTCTATGGAACTTCCTATGAGATTTGAAAGTGAATGTCATAAAGGTGAAGGAATTACAATTGACTTCCGAATTGATCACTGCGCAGGCAATATTCCAATGAGTGTAACACAAAAAGCAATTTGTGTGACGTCATGGCGACAAGATGGCGATGTTTTAACAATTTTAAGAGCCCCAGATACGAATAAATTATGGTGTCTCCGTATACCAGCCAGACGTTCTTTTGATGGTAAAACAATGATGATATTATATATGGACCCGACTTGTAATGATTATTCAGACGCTCAGTTTTATACCCTGGAACTAGAATTAATCAATCAAAACAGTTTATGCCTAGATGAACATAATGGTTGTAGTAGACTACCGTGCTACGATTATTTCACATCCCAATGTTTGAGATCGTGCGGACAATGTGATCCTAACGTATATCAAACGGCTTGTGATTTTCCTAGGAAAATACGAGGAGAATGGCTTCTAAATGATGCATATGGAAGAAATAGTGTTAATATTTCTGGATCACAACTGCAATATGATAGACTTGGATCCTTTAGCTGCGTAACGTTTCCCGATTCTCCATCTTCTAGAAAGACTAAACAGTTCACGACGGTTTCTTTTTTCACTAACGGATGTCGGCCACGATATACTTGCGTTGCATTTAAACGAATGCGCTCGAATGTATATGGGTTTGCATTAAGCCAAAGTAAAACATGGCCCTTGGAAAATGGTCACGCAAACGTGTGGTCAAAAATTTGTAGCACGAACAATTTTCATGGTGATCCCAAACCTATCGGCGATGCATTCCGGACATACAATGACGTTTTTAAGCCAATGATAACAAAACCTAGTTCTATCTCCGGAATAACATGTCCATTAGACCATAGCTATATTCTTAATGCAACATTTCAGACAGGTGGAACATGTGCAGGTCGTTTATTCAAAGTATGTCAGAAGAAGTCTCATATTCGCTTACAGTATGATAACTGCCATTTGACTGCTAAAAATTATGAAGACTTCAAGTGTATAAGTATGATAGAAAGCAAGTACTGGGAAAAGATTATCTTGTTACAGAGATATAATGATTTAAATGACACAGTGTGTATAATTCTGTCAGATGTAGAACCTGGGCGCGTGCTTTTATTGCCGTCAGGAGAATGTGACCAGTTCACGCGGACATATGTCAATGTTGGACTCCGGCGGCCTTCACTTGACATGATTGTTACACCTGAGATCCAGTCATGTAGATCTGTTGAAACAACTACAGCTACTGCTGTCGTGCATAAATTAGCTACATCTCAGACTCCTCTTGAACCAATGAAAGACGCTTATGTGGGTGGGCGTTCAAGTGAATATTTCTCAAACAAAAGTGCTAAAACAACTCATAAACACCGTCATCAAAATCATAAGACAACAACACCGTCCTTCCCTTATAAAGTTGTACAGAATGATGACCCAGATAAAGCCATAAATACATTAGTATCATCATCGTCATCATATACATTCAGTGCTCATACATTTTTTCTTACCTTTTCTATATATTTTATTTTACAATTTATATATTATGTATTCTTTGAATAAGTTTTTCTTTTTTTACTTATTAATCTTATATATACAGCTTGTCAATAAACTATTTTGCTACAGACGTGTTTTGCTGCTTCTGTATACATATATTAAAACAATATTTGTGAAAACGTGGGTTTTGTTATAAATAAACAGTATTTCTTCATTTCACCATTTTGTAAACCATCTCAACTCATACAATAACTGCAACAACAAGTATTTTGGCAAAATCTATAATAAAGTCACACTCATTACCTAATAATGTCTCGGAAGGCATCTCTGCTAATTCTCTGGGAGTTTAGTTCATGGTTTGAACAAACTGCTTTTTGTAATCATTCGTGCAGTTATAAATATATATTTTTAAGTAAAAAACACCTTTGTGAATTAATGTCAAGTTTTCTTAAACCGGTCCTGGGAGGTGAGAACGTTAGATCACCTTTACCACTTCCGTCCATGAACATGCTCAATCAAACTAAACTTGCAATATTTTTAATTTTGTCGTTTAAGGCAATCAAACATTTTCCCAAGCAAATTCTAATATTCCTTGAATTTTAAATTAAATAATTCTATAGAACCAATTACCGTCCGCCTACATTCAGCAATTTGAATTGGGCATTTTTATACAATGAAGCTGAAAATTGACAGTACCTGTTACAAAATGTGGGAAAATTGTCATGTTAATTAAATTACACATTGAAATCTATTTCAGATGTAAATTTTAATCTATTTTCACACAGGATTTGTATAGGTCATATAGAAATTAGGTCATATGAAAACTTATCAGCTTTACTGTTAGAAGAAGACGGGCAGCATATTAAAATTACCGACTTTCTGTTGGCTAGTTGCATGGCTATCTCACATAAATTAATCCAAAGCATCTTTGGGTAAGTTACCTAAGATCAGTAATGTTTAACTACTTAGTCACAGAGGTCCCTTTACTCCTTGGCTAAACAGAAAGAAACACATGCTGAACAACATATACATTAATATTTGTAAGTAAACCACTACCTTACAAACAGGATACTTTAAAAAAACAACATTTGAACAGAAAATAAAGAAAAAAAGAACTGATGAAAGCAACTTCATTTATGTTAAAGGTTTTTAAAAGAAATTCAATGTTCTTTTTTATACCATTTAGGTTTTGATGTTTTCGTTTTAATAGGCTCTTAAGTCGTTAACGGCCGAAAAAGAAGAACCGTATTTTTATCATGCAGTGAAATATAACATAAGTTTCATTATACATGTGCAGAATTGAGATTTCTATAATCTGTATAGAAAATACATGAGAAACACACGAGTTATTCCTGGCGCTTGCTTGATCTTTTCCACCATTTAGTTTACAGATGGGACGGTGAAATACATTATTCTACAAAAAGACGCAATAAATGCTTGATTAATTACCTCTTCGTTCATATTTTTTCACGAAACATGTGTCGGAATGGGATATCAGCTTCCTTGTTCAATTCAATAAACCAAATGAGAAAGTTCTAATTATCGGATATGAAAGAGCTGCAGTGTAGAGTGTGCCAATTGTGGACAAGGATATAACAATACACAATTAACGCAGTTTCTCTCCCAAGCGGAAATCTTAGGACTAATATTCTTTTGGTTGAACTAACTTTTAAATCAGTGATCTGTATTATCAATCTGAACAACTATAATACTAATGATAATAAAAATTATGACTATATTTCTGCAAATGAAACATGCAATAAATATATTCTATTTTCAGATATTGATCTTCCTAAACGAAGTTTGATACATTTTAATTGAGAAATGAATACATTTTATAATGCATTTTTATTACCCCAAGAAACTAATTTTTGAGCATTGCCCTTCCTGATCTTTATCTTCATTTCTCAAAATACATAAGTATTTTACTAGAACAATGTCATTCAAAGGTGATAATATGCTTTGGTCATGTCTATCTATATTGCGATAGAAACAAACTATAGTAAATACACTTGTATAGTTGTACAGGTGCTAAAAGGAAACTAAGTATAACCATACCATCAATTAATCTAAAGACTAAATGTGCTCAATTCGTCGCTGCAGCATGAACAGCATAACCCTTTTTTTTATCAAAACTTAAATCTAACCTAAATAATAATTTTATCGACTTTATAAGGTACATATTTTCCCACCTACTTAAATGCTAAACGCATCGAGGTTCTTGAATAAAAGGTAAAAGAGATGATTATATTTTAAAAGCTTTATACATACTTTTTCAGTAAAGCCTCGTGACACTTAACTTATTTATGTATAATAACTGATTAAAACATAAAAACAATCATAAAGAGCAGTACAAATTGTTTACATCCTTTTAATGGGTCGGTAAAGAAATTCATGTCACATTGACACAAAGCTATTTAGAAAAGTGGAGTCGCAGGAATCGAAATGAATTTGCTGACGTTCGTATTTATTAGTTCTTGTAAATCAATCGTTTTGCATAGTGACAGTTCTTGCTTCTAACCTTTTGTATTAAATTGAAATTTATTTTTCCTATTTAAGTCTTTAAATTTCTCTTCCCGTTTCTACAACTTGATATTTGCTTTATTTATCAGAAAATGCGTTTCACTTTAAAAGTGTTTTACACTGAGTAATGTTTTTGTTTGGATTTCCAGTCACACCATCACAGTATAGGTGATATTGGGACTTTCCAGCTTTACTGGTAAAGAAAGACCTCAGGTGCCCTTTTTGCATCATTTCAGGCACCCGAGTAGAAATGCCGAGGTTCCGTAAGCTAGCAAGATCGCTTTGTCACATGACAGAACTTTTAATAAAACTAAGAAAACATGCAATATCATAATATACTTTGAATTGTCCACCAAGAAAATTGTTTTGCATTGCAAAATGTAATCATTAAAAAGTTATTAATGTACATTTTAAAGTCAAACATTTACAAATATGAGTACAGTTTTTTACTTGGAACAGTTTAATCTGCCAATTAACCTTTCTATGAAACACGAAACAGTACACCAGTTACACAATCAATTACTAATAACACAGAATGCATAGTTCAATCAATTTAAAAATTCTCACATTAAGTCTTTCTATCACGTGACTTTCAGAAGACGCCTAGAGTCACGTGTTTAATAATGCTCCTTTGATATAAAATAAAATTACTATATGTTAATAAATAAGTGATTTGATATTGGCCCTGTTATTTGTCTGAGGGCAGTCGTATTGGCCCAAGGCCGAAGGCCGGGGGCCAATACGACTGACTCGAGGACAAATAACAGGGCCGATATCAAATCACGTATTTATTGACAATTTTATTAAATAACTTCATGTACTAAGTCATGACATGATTGTTTAGAAACTGAGAATATTTTGTTTCATTTATGCAACCTGTCGGCGTCTACACAAAGACCGAGTTAAAACAAAATGGCTGCCATTTCCCAGTTTCTTGCAGAAATCTATATCATTTTTTGGCCCGGCTTTATTAGCCAATCAAATTACTTCAAATGCGGGCTTTATATCTATATTACTTTTCGGCCCGGGGCCGAAAAAGTGATATAGATATTGGCACTGTTTTAAGGCAGGTCATCGTGTTATTGAACGTGGCAGGTGCTTTTTTTATAGGACTAATAACGTATAGTTATTAAATAATTCATGAATTATGAATAAGGTAACACATTTTCATTTAATTATGTTGTAGATTTGTAGCAACGTTTCCTAAGTCCGATTTTCACGAGAAGTCACAGTGTTCTGAGATAGCGAGTTGAATAAGTTTTAATCCGGAATTCAATTCCAGAAATGGCATTTCATTTTTTCCCAACTTTTACTGTTGTATGTAAGATAAGAAGAATTCACAGTAACAAAGTTGTAAGTGGAAATTGAAAACCACGTTTTTTAAGATGAAAAGAGTGGAGCATCTTTAACACAAAATAACTACGCATCAATGTTGTGCGTTTTTCAGTTTATGATAAATGCGATTGATGGTTTTCTTTTTAATTATTTGAATGGGCTTGATGATATTTTAATACTTTATATAATTTACATTTCATTTTACAGCACAACAAAAATTTCCATTCTATTTTGAAAAATTGAGAACATGCATTTGATCTTGGGACAATACTTGGACAATAAATAAGCAGTTTTGCAAAAGAGCAAGGTATGCAATTTCTGAAAATTTTGTATCCTAGCAACACATAATAATGCTCTATAATATTATCATTATCAGACCTCTTACGTCGTATTTTATATTTGTCTGCTGAATATTCTTGGACGTTTGTCATTGGTGGCATTCAAACGATTACTTCTGACATTTTGTAACACATGTGACATTTTCCTTTGCCATGGGTCTAAGAATTTTTTAAACTATCGACAACAACGCTGAATGTTTTTAGTTCGTCATTGCTATACAAGCTATGCTAACATTTCTGTATGACTTTGCATAGAAAACTAAGAACTAACATATGCAAGTTAACCGGTTTTACTTCGGTCGGGTATCTTTTTTTCTAAACATATTTCTTGTTTAACTTTTATAGAAGACTCATTAATTAAACAATTATAAAAATTATTGGGCATGTATGCAAAATTATAAAATATTAGAAAGAGAAAAAAGCAAGTAAGGTAATAGATAGCAGATATTATTTTTTAAGGAAATTACAGGTTCATTCGCATTCCTCATTTGAGCTTATCATATTTTATAGTTATTGTATTATAATAAACATTTACAGACACTAATTATATTTTTATAAAGAAAAAAATAGAGAACATATGAATTCCTTGGGTAAGTTCAAAACGGCAAAATTTGAAATGTTGCAGGCACGGTTTGATTGAGCATGTTCATGGACAATACTGTCAATACAAACTACCGTCTACGCCCCCTAGCACTGGCTTAAGTTAAATGAAAAAAATGGTGAATATTTAAATCTAGTAACATCTGCAGATCAAATGAGACTCTAAATATGTAACAAACAATGTAGCTTCAGAGTTTGTTGAACCACTGAGAAAACAATTTATCCAAATAAATGTACAAATAGACCGTCTGGTTGCATTATTTATTGATAATGGATGTGATTAACAATCTCAGTGACATATCAATACTTAATAAAGATAGTGCAAATAACTGAAAGTCTTTTACCTTC